GGCCGCAGCCGCCGCGGCAGCTCTGGGTTTGGCGCCGCCGGCCGCCCGAGGGCTCCTCACACCACCCTCGTCCCCGCTGGAGCTGCTGGAGGCCAAGCCCAAGCGCGGCCGCCGCTCCTGGCCGAGAAAGCGCACTGCCACGCACACCTGCAGCTACGCGGGCTGCGGGAAGACCTACACCAAGAGCTCGCACCTCAAGGCGCACCTACGCACACACACAGGTGAGCGGCAAGCGCAGACCCGGGGCGGGGGCGGGCTGGAGGATGGGGAGACTTAGAAACCCCCCCGGGGGCGTGGCTCCGGGAGTTGGGGTAGGGGCGCGCTTCTTAGAAAGCCCCAAGGGAATGTGAGTCAGAAGTTTCGGGGAGCAGGAGCGCGCTGGGAACTTTAGCAGGACTCCAGCTCAGAATGGCGGGGGGAGGGGCGCGCCCTCGGTACGTGGCTCAAAACAGTGGGGTGTGGACAGTAAGAATCAGGGGACACCCGTTGGGGCAGGTTGCGCACGCTGGAATAGCTAGTGTCGGGTGAATGTCTTTGGGTAGTGGGGCCACGGGAGAGCAGCTGGGTTCTGGGAGGGAAAATGAAGTTTACTCTCGCCCCGCCCGCAGGCGAGAAGCCTTACCACTGCAATTGGGACGGCTGTGGCTGGAAGTTCGCACGCTCCGACGAACTCACGCGCCACTACCGCAAGCACACGGGCCACCGGCCCTTCCAGTGCCACCTGTGCGACCGTGCCTTCTCCCGCTCCGACCACCTGGCGCTGCACATGAAGCGGCACATGTAGCCAGGACGACCCTGCCCATCCGTGCACGGCCGTGGCGGGTCCCACGCACCGGGCGCGGCCCCCTCCTGAACTGACTGGTATTTATTGGGCCCAGAGGACCGGGCCAGGCACAGCGTGGCCAAAGATGGGACGCCCCCAGCAACGATCATGCCACCACTCCCGGTCCCCATCAGAGACTGAAAGGCCCGGTGGAAGAAGACCACCATCCTCCTTGACGAGTTTTGTTTTCAAAATGGTGCAATAATTAAGTGTCGTCTTCCCCTCCACCGGGTCTACACTAGAGGATCGAGGCTTGATGCCTTGTGAGAAATACAGCCTTAACCTGTACTGTCTGCGACATTTTTTTTTATAATATTGTACATAATGACTGTGACAGATATTGTATTACTGTAAATAAGGAGACAGGTGTGCATTTGAGCAACCTGGTTCATTTTTATAAGACTTGCTGTTTTTTAATTAAAAAGAAAGTTTTGCATCTTTTGAAAAAAATCATAGCGCTTGTCTGGCTGCTTGGACCTGGGATTTGGGGCTCTGGGAGGGTCTGGCGGGTGGGGGGGCAGGGAGCCTGCCTCTTTGAAGGAGGCAGCCTAGCACAGGCTGAGGAGCAGGGCTGCCAGCTGCAAAGCCCAGCTGCCAGGAACCTGTGGCTTTCTCTATAAATTTACACACTGCCTTTTAGGACTGAGGGAGAGTTATTTTAAGGTTCTGTGAACCATAAATTACCTCCTTTTCTCTGGCGCTGGGGAAAGTGCTGGCCCCGTTGACGTGGCCCCCTCTGCCTGAATGAAGAAAGGCTTATCTCCTTTTGGAAGCTTCTGAGGTTTTAGCCAAACTTCTGACACTACAAGCCAAACTTGTAACTTGCATGCTTTCTTTTTTTGTTATTTGTTTTTCTTTTTGGAACAGGCCAAATGCTACGTTTCCGACACTTTTGCCTTTTATGACTGTCGCTAAGTAGGACATTCTTTTTAAGGGTGAGCCCCCCATCCTGTCAGGAATAGTGAAATTCACCTTCAGGATCCATTTGTGGTGGGTGTTCTTTTTCAGATGAGGAAATCGTGGCCCAGAGAGAACAGTACAGAGTGGTGCTGTTAGGGTACAAGGTTGATCTGCCACCCTTTGGGGGTCCCCAGACCTCACGAGAGGGTGGTACAGGAGGTCGCCAATTGCTGGGGTAGACAGTTCAGCAGCTGTCCCCTGCAAGTGCCCTTGTCAGAGGAATCATCAGAGCCCCTGCCTAGGTGGATGGAGGTGGCCATTCCAGATTGGGGAGACCCCCACACTGGACCCCCAATGACTTGGTAGAGGGAGGCAGCACCTCTCCCTAGTGGGTTCCCCTCATCTTCCCCCTCTTTGGGGCCCTGGGTGGGTAAGTTCACCATGGCCACAGCAGTTGCACAAGTTGTTTCCAGAAAGTGAAAATGGCCTATAAGCAGAGCCTGTTTTAAAACACTCTCGCCCTTGTTGCGACAGAGGCTGGGATTTCCTCCCTTCATCCTTCCTCCTCCCCCAACTGCAACCCTGGAAACAGCTGAGAGAGTTTGGTAATCCACAAAAAGCAGAAATAGGAGATGACAATCTGATTCATGTTTCTCAAGTAAATAGCCTGGGCCCACTTCCGCTGGTGAGGAAGGGTGTGTGTGTGTGTGTACGGCTCCTCCACCTTTCTGCCGCCTTTGCAAAAACTTTCAGAACAGAGCATTGGCCCCCTACACCAGTGAAAATAACCCCTCTTGGCTCAGTGCTGATTTCTGGAGTTACGGGGCAAGAAAAAGTCACAAGAGATTTGTGATAACTGTTGGGTCTCCAGGCTTGCCTTCTGAGTTTAAACTTGCAGGGAAAGTCATTTTTCTGCTTACTTGAGATACCTGACTTCCCCAGAGTCCAGCCAGAGGCCAGCTGGAACAGAACTGAAGCTGATGAGTTTCTGTTTCCTGAGAGCGTCCAACCAACAGCATAGAGTGTCGCACTACGATGCACAGCTCCACTCATCAGCCAGCGGTGCAGAGCTAGACTGATTCATCAGAAATAGCCCCTCATTTCTTGCCCCTTTCTGAAGCCCAAATGTTAGCTTCCATTAACTATCTTGTGGGGATGTGGTTCTCGCCAGGGACCATCAATGTGGAGACATTTTGGTTAGCACATCCAGAGGTGCTGCTATCTTCTCTAGCGGGTGGGAGTCAGAGGTGCTGCTGAACATTCTAGAAGGCCTGAGGCAGCCCCCACCACAGAGAACACTCCAACCCCAGCATCAGCAGTGCAGAGGGTGAAAACCTCTCTGGTTCCTGAAAGATGATGATTCGTTGCTTTTATTAGCAAGGTGGCCCTGTCACGGAAAACAAGCTTCGATAGTAGATGCCACCCCCAGAGAAAACCCCGCTGCCGGCCAGCTCAGCTCCCTGAGGCCTTCTATGAAGTCCTGGGATCCATGTGAGAAAAAAAGAAAGAAAAACACCCTGCAGTCTACAATCCAATTCCAGAATTTCTGAAGGGAGGGGTTTATGGGCAGCTGCTGAATTGCCTTTGCATGACTGATTATCAATGCATCTTTTTTGGTTTTTTCCAGGGCAGGTTATAAGCACTTTTCCGTACTATTTTCCACTCTGATATGTTTTTGTTTTCTTCTTAAATAGCGGCATGATATTCCACCGAGCCGTGCCAGGGGTTGCTTGTACAAACAAGCCCTGAACATAGATAGATAGATTTGGCCATATTTCAAATGCCCCTCCTTCCCTAGGTAAAAGAACTGGCAGCAATGAAGGTTTGGGGGTGGTTTTTCTACCAGAAGTTGTTTGTCCATTGGGGAGCCCCAGGTGCCGGCCAGGTAGAAAAAAGTGGTGTGCAGTGGGTACGTGGGGAGGCGAGTCCCAGAACACCCCTGACTCAGCACTCTGCCCCAACAGCAAAGCTGGGTTAGTGGGAGGCCCGGCAGCACCCTAGTGGTGTCATGAAAGCACTGCTGTCCAGGACCCATGTTGAGGGGTGTGTTGGAAGACAGGTTGTCAACCTGCACTAGGATAGGGGCTCTGGGCTGGCCACCATGGGGTGTGGGCAACACCCCTTACCACCGCCGCATGATGCTGGTTTGATACAGACAGTCCGTATCACCTCCCAAGTGGCGCCAACCAAATCCACCCCCAGATATTGCCAAGTGTCCCCTGGGGGCAGAATCGGCCCAGATTGAGAACCACCCGCTAGGAGTTCTGTGAACACTAGGAGACTTCGTATCCGTAGCAACCTGAGCACTGAGGTTCTGGGGTGCTGCACAAATTTAAATGCGCACACAGGGAGGCGCAGACGGGTTCTGGGAGGGCCGCCCTGGCTTGCCCTGTCTGACCCGCTGGGAACGTATTCTGCCGTGTACTGTGAACTGGTGACCTAAATCGTTTTTTCCCAAACAATTAACAGAGTTTCACCCTCAGCACTGCCAACATCTGGGGCTGAGTCATTCTTTACTAGAGGTCCTGGGTACCTGGTGCTGAGCAACCTCCCTGGCCTCCATCCACCAGATGCTAAGAGCACCCAGCCTCACCGTGGTGACAACCAAAATGTTTGCAGACATGGCCATGTTCCCCGGGGGAGAAGGCCAAATCACAAATGTTAGGCAAAACCAGTCCTTAAAATGGAAGCCCTTGGGTCAGCCTCCAGGCCTCAAGTTTCCTCAGCTGGAGAGTGAGGAGGCTCTACATGGAAAGAACCACTGTCTGGGGGGACACTGCAGCCAGCATGCAGGATGTGGTCAAGAAGTGCACCCCCCAGGGAGGTCAGGGGGCTTCAACTTGGCCCACCCACATGTCTGTCACTGTCTCTAACTACCTCTGTGTCTGTTTCTCTGGGTCTCTAGGTCTGCTTGGCCTCTGTCTCCCTCTCCCTCACACCCTCCCATTCATGCATCAACAGATGCTCCTGATGGCTCAGCCTTGAGCCGAGTCTTAGGGAAGCAGAAATGACTCAGAAGTGACTCAACCTCAAGCCAGCAATGTTTGTTGAGTGACTAATCCAGAGCAACCTAATTGAGCTGGAGGCTGGGGCAGGTGCTATCATCCCGGGGCGCTTTCCATTAATCCAACCCTCCCAACAAACTGTGGGGTGGAAGGTGAGAAGGAGGTGCTCATCCCCACTTTCCAGAAGTGGAGCTCAGAGATGGGCCCCTCCTACCCACCCCCACCCCACCTATATGCCTGCCTATTTGGGTGTGGGTGGTAAGTCCCCACTCAAGCCTGGGTCAGCCACCCCGGGTGTCAGCTCCTCCCTGCAGGCAAACATCTCCACACAACACCCACCGAGTTCACCCTGTTTTTCTCCACACACACCATCTGGGGGTTCCTGAGAGCCCCAGTAAGTCCTCTAAGGCGTTGGTCTGAATTTGCCATACGGACCAGACAGAGAGGAACAGAGTCAGGAAACGTGGCGGGGAACCTGTCTGGGTGAACAGCATTCCCTAGGGTGCTCCCTACCAAAGGAGGGGAGCAGTTCCCAAAAAACCTAAATGGACTCATCATGTGATTCAGCAATTCCCCTCCTAGGTGTGGACCCCAAAGAACTGAAAACAGGGACTCAGACAGATGCACCCAAGGTTCATTGTAGCAGGATTCAAATGGCCCAAATGTAAAAGCCCCCAAGAGTCCATGACATGTGGACAGGTGACCGGATGAAAGGCCCATAGCACTCAGCCACTAAAGGAGGGAGGCCCGATTCTTGCTGCAGCGTGGAACAGCCTCAGAGGAAGCCGAGGCCAGGCATCTGCTGCACCACCCCCACCCAAGGAGCCACCTACGGGGGGGGGGAGCCATCGAGACAGGGCGTCAGAGGGTGGGGGACAGGGCTGAGGGGTGTTCGGTGGACAGACTTGCAGTTTGGGAAGACAAAGCCTAGAGGTGGAGGCCATGACGGTTGTGTAGCCCTGTGGATGTAACTAATAGTGCTGAGACCTTCTTAGAGAAGACTGAAACACTCCATTTTGTTATGGTTTTAAAGACGGGGTAGTGAGTCGCTACAGGCGGAAGCAGAGGGGCTATTTTTAATTCAGATCCTATACTGAGTGCTTTCCTGGTATTGCTGCCCATGTCACAGGAGGGGAAGTGGAGGCTTGGACGGCAAGGCCGCCAGCCACGTCGTGGAACTGAACTGTGAGGCAGGGTGCTGAATGTGCACTTGCCATCACCATGCCTCCTCAGGGGGCAGCCAGCCCCTGGGGCTCCCTGGCCTTCGTTTCCCCGTCTGAGAGCAACAAGGTTATCAGACTTCTACAGGGACCCTTTACTGGGGAAAAATTCTGTCTCCCCGGTAAAATCAGATGGTATTGTCTGGCAGCCCCCTATCATTCTAGAATCAGTTCAAAGACATCACTGTGGTCACTAAGGCACTTCCTCCTTCCACCAGCCTCTTCTCACTCTTCTGTGCAAATTCAGCTACACTGTCCTCCCTGCTGTTCACCAGACACGCTCTTCAGTCCTGCCTCAAGACCTTTGCTGCTGCTGT